GGCCATGAGTTCTGACTATGATATAATTCACATGTTCAGGAATGTAATTTCATGCTATGGGTGTTGCTGAACTGCAAGCTTTTAGCTCTGACTTCACGGTACTTAATCTCTTCCATGCCAAAAATTGCCTCAATAGCATCTTTTATGTTCAGCTGAACTGCTGCACTAGCCCAAGGGAAAACTTTGGTTCAAGGTGGATTTAAATTTTGCTGGAAACAGAAAAATCTAATCAGACCATTTAATACAATTTACACTGTTGCTCCTTCTGCCTGTGATGCGCAGAAGATGCAGAACAGCTCTGCCCACCTCACCCCATCAATGCCTGGCACACAGCATCTCTCTCTGCTCAAATGTAGATTTATTCTTCTCTCCTGCCTGTAATACTTGTTCTCCAGGGGCTTTTGAGTGACTGGCTTCCTGAACACCTTGCTGGGCTGCCGGAGCTGCTGGACCACTGGAGATATCTGCTCACTGCTGCACCGTGCCCTACGCACGTACACAGGCACTGTCCTACCCACAGAATAACCCTCCTAATACCAGTTTTAAGCTGGAAAGAAAGTGAAGAGTGACTTTGCAGGTTATCCTTCACATGGCTCATTCTCAGACTCATCTGTGATTAAATGATCCCTCTGCACAGCTAGCCTGTCCCAAAGGAGCTAAAATGAGTGGCTGAATGAGATGGAAGCAGAAGTTGTCTCTTGCAGATGATGTGTCAACATCAGGAGCTAACAGTGCCCAAGCCTGAACAGCTCTGGTAAAAACTGGCAACTACTGCTTCTCTCCTTTGCTCCAAACCATTTTTCAATACAACTTCATGTCTGCTGTCTGGTGTTCAGACTACAGCTTTCTGCAGCAGGAGCTGCCTTCCCAAATACCTGATGTTTAGGGTGTGATGCTAGAGAGACCTGAGATTTTCCTCCTTTCAAATGGCGGATCCATATAGATGAGAACTCTCTTAAAGCACTCTGCAGAGCGATGCCAGTCACATTTGCAGAGTTCCAATGCTTAACAAAGCCTTCACTCTGGGGACAGAGCATTGTCCAGCAAAGGAGGTGACAGAGACGTCAAATCTATATGCCAGATGTCGGTGTTGTAACTTGTACTGAGCCTCCTTTCTCTTTGTACGCTTGGCCTCACTGCCTGCAACGTGCATTTCCCTGCTGGAAAGACCTCGCACACTTCTAACACTGGGAAAACGAAAATTGCCCAAAGGGAAAAAGTACAAAAGGTTTGCCTGTGCTACAGGAAACTGGAACTGCCAACAGTCTGCTTTGCTGGACTGAGGATGTCGGCAGGACTAGGGTTTAGCAAGGTATCAGCAGTGTGTGCATGGACAGAAACACAGAGAAAGAATCGCCCAAGTCAGGCTCTTTATCAACATGGAATACAGAAATAAAAATTTAGCAATGGGAGCTCTGTACAGTCTGGAAATTCAACCCATGAAAAATTCCAGGACTGTTCTCATTTTATTACCTTCCCAAATCAGGATGCAAATCTCAGTTTCTGGATTTTATCTATGCATGGATTAAGGCATACAGCTTTCACATAGGTGTATAATATTTCATTTCAGCAGATGAAGATGTTCTGTATCATCTCTCTCCTTTTGATGTTCTTTAAAACAATGCAGTCAAAAATGCAACATGCTTCATGATTACAATTTCCTGGAAAAATGAATAAGCAACAAAATTCTTACATTTCTGTGAAAAGTTTGGAGTTAATCAGATCATCATATTCCAGTGGAAGACTATTCCCTTGGGAGTTTCAGACCAGCTGTAACTCCAGCATTTGGAAATCTTTCACCCTAGGAAATAGTGGAATATCAGAACCATGAAAACCTGGGAGCTTGCTGTGACACTGTAGGGATGCCCATCAGTCGTGGGAGCACTGCGGTGCTTAAGTCTTACTTTCTCATTCTCCTCCTCAATTTGAAATCCTTCAAACCTCTTATCTGTCTGTATTATGCATCTATGAATACATAGGCAGCACAGTGTGTGCAGGGATAAACCAGGTAAAACTCCAGTAGATGGCGCTCAAAAATATCCAAAATTGGTGTCCCTGCAGGAGGCCAACGGGAACTTGGTGCTGTGCAAAGGGTGCCGTGCGGGCAGCCCTGCGGCGCTGGGGATTCGGAACAAGGCGCTGGGCTGGCACTGCCATGTTCCAGCTGCTGTGATGCAGGCACTGAAATACCTTTGCCAAGGGAAGAAAAGTTTGGTTTATTGGTTGTTGGGGTTTTTTTTCCTAATTTTAAAAGGCAGCTGAAGGTGTTGATCCTATTACACGTAATCACTCAGCTTGTAAGAGCTGAAACATTAGCAATAACTTGAGCATCTTCAAACTTCATTTGCTTCAAGCCTGGATTTCATTAAATCTAAGCTGTACCAGTTTTGTTCCAGATCAGGCAATGACTGCCCCAGTCACTGGATTTTCTTATGAAAAATACTTCCAGGAAAATGGCTAAGAGATCAGAATGTTTCTTTACAAATTTGTTTTAGAAGCCAGAGTGATGACTGAAAAGCTGTTTGCTTGGGTGACAGCAAAGGTCATTCTTTCAAGCACCATCAGCTGGTAGGCAAAGAATGACATTTTCTTTGTCTAGCTAAAATCAAAACAGAAGTGGCAACTCAGATGGTCATGCATGACATACCCCATTGATTCCAGGAGACTAAGCCAATTCTCATGACCAGTGTATCTGCCTCCAGCACTCTTAACTAAGGAGACCTCTTGAGTTACATGATGTGAAGTATAGTGGGATTTCAGCTCTTCCATTACACAGAAGATGAGGAAAAATGATCATGGTTTGATTCAGAGGCACAGACATCTCACCACATGAAGCCAGAGCTAGCTTGTGGGATCAGACAATTCTTACCCATAAAGCTGCAAAGGGAGCAGGGAGGTGGTGAGCACTGGCTTACAAACAAACTTTCATTCCAGCTCCAGCCCCAACATGCCTGGCCCTTCCAGCAATTATTCTGGCTCTCAGCCATCAGCCCTGGGAAGAAGCTTCCTTTGGGGGAGTGCATTTTTATGCTGCAAGTATTAAAAGTGTACTTATCTCAGGCTATTTGTCCTTACATCTAGTCAAAGGAGCATATGTGTGCATATGTGTGTGTGTCTATGTGATCTTTTCTCTTTTTTTACCAATCCAGAACAGCTCAAGATATTAAAACAAATGGACTAGTGACTTTGGGTTTCAAAATGGGATGTCCTTCAGGAGAGCACAGCTACCTCTATAGCTTTGAGATGAGGAGCAAGAGGACTAATATTCCAGATTAATACTCCAAGTAGCTCAGAGAAGAATTGCCATATGAGAACCTAAACAGATTTTGCCACATGTGATCTGACAGAGGAGTGAGTGGGAATAAGAAGTCTTTCTATCCCCCTCTCTGCACTCTGCCCAGTGCCTATGAAGGATTTTGGGACACCGCCTACCCAGATTGACGGGGCTACTGAGGTAATCTTGGAGAATGCACACTTCAGTTTGCACCATGTCATAAACTGAACCCAAGTCTCATTTAAGGGATGATTTGGGCTCCCCTAACTCATCATTTAATCTCCCAAGCATTTGTCCTGCTAAATACTGAAGAGAACTACCTTTCCCAGAGAGAGAGTGCAGTATCAGGAGAAAGCTAGCTGCAAAATATTCAAACTCCTGTTCCCACCCAATGCATTCTCCTGAAGTGGTGAAAGTTGTTCAATGAAGCTTTTGTGTTCTTTTGGGGAATCTCAGCTAATTCACATGCAGGCCTACTTTGTACTTTTGTTTCCTTGTTAAGCAGCCATTGTACTATCCTCAGCACAGACAGAATGCAGGGGAGAGAACAAAGAGCAGCCGGCAGTAAGAATGTGACACCATCTCTTCCCATGAAGCTCTGTTGCCGCAGCTCAGGGCGGCTGGATGTTATTTTAGTGGCTCTGCATCCCACCCATGCGTTTCTGTGGGTCCTGTGGCTGTGACGCCTTGAGAGCGCGAAGCTTATTCATGTTCAGGAATGGGAGGGTCAGGGCCATCGACACACACCAGCATCCTGCTGCCTATTATTTCCTGCCAGTGCTGGCGTCGCACCAAGCCCTAACATGACAGGTGGATGGAGTTCACAAGGAAATAATGTCATGGGCCAGTTTTCCAGGAAAGCTGTTAACTCTATTCACAAACTCGGGCCTTCAGATTGAAAGGGAATGTGGCTGAGAAGAGGTGGTGAAGGGCTGCTCTGGTGTTACTGACTTTTTTTAATAGATGATTCACTGACATCTCCTGCTGCAGTACAGAAATCTTTACCTCTATGTAATGCCTACCTCTTCTAGAGTAGACTGTGGCTGAATGCTTTCTAACTTCCAAAAGCAGAGGGGCACTGCCTCTGCAAATCCCAAATGGCCATTTGATTTCAGTCAGATTGCAAAGAATGTATGAAATTCACCTCCTGCCTTTCACTGAGCTAACTGGTTCCTGGGAAACAGAAAAGGAGAAGAAATACGAGGTGAGATCTAACACTGATCTTAACCTGGAGACTTAGGTATTTTATAGGAAAAAACCTGAGGATACAGGCAAGGATGTATCAGAAACAAGACTTACATATTTATACAAATCTCTGTCTTTCAACAAGGTACTTGTGTAAAGCTCTGCTATCCCTCCGTGACTTTTTGCAGTGTCCATTTGCTGTTCTGTTCTTTGTGTTCTCTTTCTTCTTTTCCTCTGTTTTTAAAGTTTAATACATTTTTCTCTTAGTCTGCAAAGCACAGAAAGTGAAGAAGTGAAGCAATCAACACAAAAATAAGTGTTTTTCAAAAACACCATGTTTGCCACAAATGCAAATTTTTGGGTGCAGGAGTTAGGACAATAGGACTCTAACTGCCTGCTCACAAGAGGAAGGATTAGGTCCTCTGTCATGTTAATAGTGACATCAACAACCTGAATAAAAGCCAAAAATTCAAGTTGATTCTGCAGTTTAAGACCATTGTTCTCCCATGTGGTTTAGTCTGTAAGATATAGTCTACACATAGAACTTTTCCAGGATTTATATAATGTTTCACATCATACAGTGCAATTCTTGGTATGTTAATGTACTTTTACATATCAAAGCCCTTTGTAATTGACAAAGATTTATACTGATATAGCTAAAAATTCCCTACAGCTTACAGGCATCAGAGGTATTGGAAATACATATGCAAAAAGATGGCTGCCAATATTGTTCTGTTCTTATTTCAGAGCCCATTGTAAAAACAAATCAGGTGAAACCTACTAATAATATGCAACAACCTCCACATCAGATTAAAGGAGCATTAGCCCTGGACTTTGGCTCCGGATAAGCAAAGCTGAGGCAAGAATACGGGATATTCCAGAGGGCTTGTTCCTGGCCTGACCCTTCCGGATCCTGATGAGACTCTCAAGCCTTTCTTCATTCCGTACTCTGAGCCCAGTTCCTGTTCTGTTGAGCTGCAGTAATGTTGTACATTCGTTGTTTGGTAACAGGAGCTCTCCCGAGTGTCCAAGGCAGAGGAACATAATTCTTGAACACAAGTCCATGAATCTACCCTTTCTCTCTCTCTTTCTTTAGTTTCTTTGCAAATTCTGGTATTAGACCCACGATCACGTACAAGTCACATCACGTTGGTGACTGGGGAATCGTAAATTGGGCATTTAGACTTGAACAAATACTAAGCATTGTCATCCTAAACTGATTATTATTTTAAATACTGTCCCGGGCTATAACTGCCTTTGTGTACAATAGCAATACAGGGTGTAGTTACAGACACAATTTCCTGTGCTTAGGGTTTGAAATTATTATTTAAGATCACCGTAACGTTTGCCCGGTGCACCAGCGCAATTCCCCTATTAGATAATTTTCTATCCTTGTGAGGGCAATTTTGCTTGTGCAATGCTGCCAGAGCTTTCAGGAAGGGAGAGACAAGCAATTGTGACAATAAAATTTGCATCAGCTCCCACCCAACCTCTCCCAGAACTGAAATACCATTTGTCGCATTCAAAGCGTTTTCGCATCAGAAGGGAAGGTGTTTCTGAGCTGGAAAGTCATTGTGATCTCCACAGGGTTGCATCCTCCAGGCTGACTTCTGCCGCTCAGGTTCCCATGAGAAACACCAAACAGCAGTTCTGGAGTTCCATATGGCTTTGTAGCAAAGACTTGCTGGGTTGCCTGGCCCAGCATCCAAGCATGAAACCCCAAATCAATCCAGTCATGGGGTTCAGAAACTGAAGCTGAAATTCTGCTGTTTGTAGCTGACCAGTTTGACGAGGTTGACCCTTGTAAAAAGCACTGCAGATGTGCCCTTGTAAAAAACATTTCAGATCTAACAAAATCACCGGTTTCTGGAAAATGAAGGTGCCAAACCTGCCACACTGTACTCGTGTAACGCCTCCCTCAGAACAACTCGAGGTTTAAGGGCTAAGAAGAAGGTATTGTTCCTGTGTTGGAACCAGCACCAGGGGCACAGGGAAAGAGGATAGTAATGAAAAAGTCCGTAATATGTAGATTTGCAGGAATGAAAAACATAGACTATAAGACTTGTGTTGGATGTCATCACTGGTCATTCAGAAAAGAAGCTACTGCTACTTCAGGCTGTCCCAAAATCAATGCACACAAATCATGGTGGTGAAGTCTGTGCCAGTTTCTAAGGCCTTGTGGCAATTCAGCAGTGAAACATATGAAAACGTCTTCAACAGCATAAGGTCTCTGACTAAACTGTTCACAACCTCTGCCTTGCTCCTGCAGGATGCCAAGACCAAGTGCTTGGATTTTTCCCCATAAAGTTAACATTTTGCTTTTCTGAGTAAAGGACGAACAAAAGTGAATTCTTGCACAGACTTCACTCACTGGTTGATACTGAGAGGCTTGTGCACATATGTTGTACCACCAGGATAGAGCTGATGCTGCTGAGCTCAGCAGTTTGTGCTGTGGCAGCCCTGTATTACCTAGAGGCCTCTCAACCTGTCTGCTAGCTGGTATCCTGGGACCATGCAGTAGCTGAAACTTTGCTTGCTAGGGCATCACTCCTAGGGTCAGCACAAGGCTGGCTGTCACTGCTCACATGCTGCTTAATGCCTGGATGCCCACACTTAGCAAGGCAGAGGGTAGTGCAGGCACTGTGCTGCGTCCTTGTACGTTCAGGGCAAATATAAAACAGAGTAGAGATAGATAAGGGAAATCTCTAGCAGTATCAGAGCAACTCTGACTCATATATACTTTCCCTGGAAAAAAATGCTCCACAAAAGCCATTGCCTCTGTTCCACTGAGTTCAGCCTTTTCTTTTGACTTGGAGCAGAGGCTCACCTTGCACCTCTGCTTCCCTTCCGCACGCCGTATGCAAGCTTGCCTCTATCGCAGCAATGGCGAAGGGAGGACCCGCGCATGGGAAAGACTTCTGCAGAGGACAACAGACTGGGAATGATGGGGCTGAGCTGCTCCATGTGTGTAGTGCAAATCCCTGCATCTCTACAGTCCCTGCAATTCTCTCCTCGGCAGCCTGCAAAATTCCACTGAGAAAAAACAGAAATGGGGAGGGGGAAGAAAGAGTCAGAAAAACTATTGTGTTCCTAGGGGGGCAAGAAATAAATAGCCCTATTTAGCTTATCCAGCTTTGCTGATGTCAATCACTTTTCTCATTTTAAACAGGAAAGACACCACTTTAGTTCCACCTGTTCCATTATTTATCATGCTATGCATTTCCCATAAATTGTCACTCATGCAAAACCTGTACATCGTAAGGGGACACCCTAATATTTTTAATGACCTTAACCAAAGTGATTGACATTAGACACCGGTGTCAGATGTTCTGGTGACGCAACATGTTCTCCTAGCAGCAGGAAAGCTTCCTGCCGTGATTAAGTTAGGGCCATGGAAGTGCTAAAATGTGTTGTCAGCTTTCCTCTGATGCAAGTGATTTTATTATAGCGTCTGGTAACCACGGAGTGTGGCAACGCAAATACTGACTCCAAACATCCCCTCCCATACATACAGCTTGCTCTATTTAAAACATGAAGTGCACTGCACAAATCCAGGGATAGATTATGGATGTAACAAGCTTAAACCATGGAGGGCAGAGGAAAAGGTGGCACCTCAGCCAGAATGCTGGGTGATTCCAGGAGGTGAAGCATACAGCTCTGGGATGACCTGCGGAAGGCAACCCCCTGGTTGGCAGGGATGCTCTGCAGTGGCATCACCACTGCTGTTGTGGATGCCAGAGGCACCAGAGGGCAAAGAAGAGGCACATTAATATCAGGTTCACTCGCTGCAGCAGTGGAAACTAAAAATCACATCCAGCCCTTTTGAGTCAGGAAAAATTAAGGACAAAAAAACAGAGAGGGGAAAAATAAAGAGGGCTCCATGCAGCCCCTCTGCCTTCTGACACCCTCACACACACTGGGATGAAAGCCTGTGACTTGGCTCCACACCACTTGTCCTTCAGGACAGAGATAAAGAAATAACATTCTGGTTTGCTTCAACTCGGGACCAGCCCCTCAATTATTCATTACCTGAAAAAAAAGCTGGAAGACCTCTGGAACACAAGAGTTACAGAATCGAACATCTTAGACACACACAAGGGACGCCTGGCACCTGCTTTTCTCAAGATCCATAATCCCAAAGCTCATTCAGCAAACAGTTACTACACAGACGACTTCACTTCCACAGGTAATCATTCATAGTTGTGTCTAAAAGTGACCATGCCAGTATGTGTCTGCAGAACTGACCATTATGGTTTTCCAGTAACAGAGTTGTTAACCTGCAAAAGGAATGGGCCATCAAACTACAATCCACACTCTACAGAGATTCTGGGAGGAGATCAGCAGTACATATGTTCACAGTTACTGTTCTACAAAAATAGAATCATAAAGCAGTCAAAGTTGAAGATACAAGATATCTTGATAGCAAGAACAGATTTTCTAAAGGTCTAGCAGCACTGAATATTATTTTAATGAAATTTACTTTTTACTTTTATAGCAAAATAATCCAAAGTGCTAAACCTGACCATTTTAATTTAGAAAACCCAAAAAGTCTCATGTTTTAAGCCATAATCATACCCCGTTATTTAGGTTAGACAATATCATTATATATTTCTACCTATTTCTATTCAATAGTAGAACAAAATTAATATTAGTTGGTTTAAAAAAGGGGAAAAAGTACCACAGATATTGGGAGGGGAAAGTTACATAAAATACAAGAATCAGCTTATTGAGCGATCTGCAGTGTTTGGTTGTTATTGCTTTTTCTTTTTTGAGCTACAACTTAAGTCACAATCTGGCCATAAGCTTGTAGTCACCTCAAATGCTTCGACTTCTCCCTTGGTCAAATGTCACAGTGTGTATTTTAAGGAGATTCTGGCATTTCAAGGCCTTATTTCAAAACTATTCTTAGTTTTCACAAGTCCCTTTCCAACATGATCAGCATGTTGGAGAATGCAGCTGTGATGATGGAAGTCAGGATGATGCCTCTTTCTGTGCAGGAAAAGTGGGTTTTCCTCCGTCTTCAAAAGAATCACTACCAAATCTGCAGTAAGAAAAATATTAAGAACACTTGCAGACTTTCAAAGAGTATTTCTTAATCCATTCCATTTCCACTTCAGTTCATTTCCAAAGTTAAATTAAAACTTGCAATCTCTCCTACTGATAAATAGTCAAGTTGACTTACAAAGGTTCTGCCTTCTGTCCAGTCTTCTCCTGGTTGGCTTTAACCAAACAAGGTTCTCTGATTTGCCACAAGTGCTGTCTGGCTCTCCCGCCTCTTTGCTTTTTTGTTTTGCTGCCTGATTTTCCAGCACACTGCACTAGAAGCCAGCAAAAGGAGTCCTGATGACAAAAGGACTAATCCAAACACCGAGATGATCGATCCATGAGAATTAAAGCTGTATGCCACAGCAGTAACCACGATGCCAGCTATGAGGATAACCACCCCAAAGGGAATGGTACAGCGGTAACAGGAGAGTTCTGCTCCCCCTGTTGCTGCGGTCAGCTGGCACTCACTGACAAGAGGGATGGTGGTTATCACACAGTCATTGTTATTACACTTCTCCATGGTTACAGTACCAGGATGCTTTGGAGCGCCCAGAATCTCTTTAATAGGTTCGTTTGTCATCTTGATTGCCTTGACTCCGTCAGTTCTTAGGCTAGAGCAGGCACTGCAGAGCACATGGCGCACTGTGGAGAGAAGAGCATGAGTTCAACCAAGTGTTACTGTTGCATGACATATGGATGACAAGGGGTTATGGACAAGCTTTCTTGTAACACTACTGATTGTGGAGGATCTGAATAAATTCTTATAGTAGTCATCAGCATGTGCTAGAAAGAACACAGACCAAGACAGACATCAACCTTAAAGTGCTGTGGGCTAAATCTTACTTTAAGTCACATCCTAAAGTTGGTATTTCTGGATGCAGTTTAGATTTCAATGGCATTGCATCTTCTGATGAGGAGGTGAAGTTCAAAGGCTGTTTTGGTTAAAAATTCTGCTCTTGCTCGCACACTTTTTCACAGTGTTTCTTTAGAGCTACACCTCTACACACACATTATGCAGATTTGCTTCAATACACATCACAATAACATGGGCAAGAACTGGTCCAGTAAAACCCAGGACTTAATAGCAAACATCTTCTCAGTGCAAGTGCTACTCAGTGAAAAATTCAAATGGTCATGACTAGATATGGATGTGGGGGTAATGGAGATTAAAACAGTTCCCTGCACTCAACAAACACCAGCAGAAAGCAAAAGTAATGGGTCCCTTTTAAGTCATAGAGACACAGAATACAAGGTTGGAAGGGACCACAAGGATCACCTGGTTCAACTTTTCTTGGCAAAGCATGACTTAGACTAGACTTCCCAGCACCCTGTCCAGCTGTATCTTAAAAGTGTCCAGCATTGAGGTATTTACCACTTCCATGAGGAAATTACTCAAGTCCATGAAACCACATCCATGTTACTCCATGGGAGGGAAATTTAGTGTCATACTCAACCATTCTAGTGACAGTAGGTCACTTTTCTCCTATTTCCACACTGTATACACACTTTCAGTCCTACAGAGAGCATGCACAATTTGATTCCATCTGCATTATGAGGCAAAACGGCTTTTGACTCCCTGTGCCCAGTGCCTAACTGGAGTCCATCTGATCAGGGAAAGATGAGCCCATGACTCTCTGCTGCTACAGGCAGCCATGAACAGACCTCATAATTCCTGCGGGGAATGTGGTGGTATGGGGGTTAGTGAGCACCTGACAATGCCAAGGCTACCATGGCTGTGTGCTCAGTGCACCCCACCACATACAACAGAGACTGGGACACTAGGGAAGCACTAGGTTTTCCTTCTGCATGTAGTGCACAGGACTCTCCCACTACTCTCCGGTACAGGCTGTGCAGCTTTTGCTCTTATGAGCAGCATGATATGCAGCTCAGAGAAGAAGGAAGAGTGCTGGCAATGCAGTAATCCTTTTATCACCTTCACATCTGTGACTAGGAAGTTAATTGCCAGATACTTGTATTCTCCTTTTCCTTTCCCACCACTCCACCCTTGTTGCTAAGATATATTCATCCATTGTGGAGAGCCCTTGGTTTTATATCTCAGTACCTCCTATAACTGTGTGTTTTCTGAGAAAGAAGATTTCTCTATTTTTAAACACACACACAAACAGGCAACACTGTAGTCAGAGAGTTTGTATCGGAGTTTCCTTGAACCCTACTGACAGAAAGAAAGTTTAGATCTGGTTTGACAAAGCTTTTGTTCTGCTGCCCTAAAGAAGAGTGCTCAGCTCAGTAGTGTTTCTTTCTGTACAGGGCTGTCCTCAGGGCTCAATCCCACAATGGGTTCAGCAGCTACAAGACAGAGTAGCCTCCTAATGACAACACCAAGCACAGCGGAACTGAGCACACACACTGACAACACAGGAGACAATGGGCACTAACTGAAAACACAAGAAGGTTCTGTCTGAACATCAGGAAGCACTTTTTTACTGTGTGACTGAGCACTGGAACAGGTTGACCAGGGAGTTTTTGGGGTCTCCATCCTCGGAGATATTCAAAAGCCACCTGAACAGATTTCTTTAGGTGACCTTGCTTGAGCAGGACACGGATGGACCAGATGACCTCCAGAGGACCATTCCAGCCACAACCGTTCCATGATTTTGTGTGTTGCTGTGAAGGTGTCTGGTATCTCCAAGGGCAGGAACAGGACCTGATCAGTGCTTACTGGACAAAGCAAACAGATCTGCTCTCTGAGGTTCTGTTGCTTTGTTCTTCAAATTCTAATGTACGATTAAGTGCCTTTTAGATCAGACAGAAAGAGCCCGGGAAAGCCATGGGGCTGCTCTAGAGCACCACTGATCTGTCCCCACATGGGCCTGAGCCCAAGTTCTGCATTCTCAATAATGTCTTACATGGCAGTGAGACTCACTGGTGCCACTACGTTGCTGCATCACTTACCCATTAAATGTCACAGAAGTTCGGCACAATGGGAGAATGTGCTCCCTAAATGTCACCCTCTTTTGATCTTACTAATTGAATAGGGCAAATCTTTGATATTTGATAGCCATATTCAGTTAGTTCAACATTTTATTATTAAATTTGAGAGAGGAAAAAAAAATAACCATTTTCCATATAAAAGGTATTTCACATCCAAATACATTTTAATGACTATGCAAAAGTCTAAACACTCTAACGGTCACAGAAATAGGGAAAGTTCCCAATAACTTGAAAAGACTTTGGACTGGGGTCATAGTGAACATGATTATCCTGAAAAAAAATTCAACATTCAGTCAAAGTATATTTATTCCTGTCCCTAGAGTCCTTGTCCCTCTGCTTCAAATACATCCCCAATGAACATTAATCTCTTAGATGTCTTGTACAGAGGTTTATGAAGAAAGGAGATGCATTTATATAGTCAAAACTAGCATTAATTTTGTAAAAAATCTTCTGAACTACCAAAATTAAATTAATGGCAAAATACCTTTTGGCTTCTGAGAAGCACATTTCCTGCCTGTAATAGGATGTAAGCAGACAGGCATTCATATAAAACAAATAAACAAACCCCTATTGAAAGACTCTAACTAAAATAAACAACAGAACCTATCTGAAGTGGGAGTAAAGGTATTCAGCCCTAGAAAATAAGGTAAGAGATCCTCATTGCCAGCAAAGTCACTTCTGACTTATGCCAACAGGTGACTTGGTTCAAGTTTCAGGGTAAGAAATTTAGGCGAAGATACCCGGCAACACCAGCATCCTCTCACTAATCATACCACAAGTACTGCCTTACGGAGCTATGGTGACTTGGAGGAAGAATGTGTTTCTCTGGCAATCTGTGGCTAACACCAGATAAAGAGGAGAGGAACGTTTTACCCACTAATAGTTGTAAGTTGAAAAGCCATGAAATCCAGCAGCACACGCACCTACCAGGTCCAGGAGAAATCCATCCGAACAAATCCCTTGGCTCAGTAAGCAGAGGAAGATGGCTTGAGATGTCTCGTATGTCAATTCAAGGGGGAAGTCATGCAGCAGTAAGTGCTGCTCCAGGCTGTGAAGTGTTCAGATGTTGCTGAACTGGAGGTAACAATATTCTAGCATGGAAGTTTCCTACAAGAAAAGTTGTTGGATATTTATCAGCTTCTTAAGAACAAAGCTCCTGCTGTATGCTGACTCCTGCTGCTAACCGAATGGAAGCAGGGGATGTTCTCCCTCTGGTTCTCCTAGGGGTTTCTGCCTCTCTTCTTGGCAGCAGCTGCACATTTCTGGCCCTATGTAATTTTTCTTTGATGATGTGACATCTCAGTGATGAATGTCACAACCCAGGCAAGACCTCAGAAAGAGCTAGGCAGGACAAGATAACGCATGGGAATTTCTGCAGTCATAAATCTCATGTAATTTCATTTCTATTGCTCACTTACGTGAATCACAACTTGGAGTACTTGGGGTTTCGCCTATTCTGCCTCCAGTTTCTTTGAGCAAATTACTCCATCTCCCTGTGCCTTGGTTTTCTCAGCTGTAAACTGGCAATAACAACATTCTTCTCACTAAAACCCCCTCTACTGTAACAAAACCCAAAAACTCCTCTCAGAAAAACAAACAGGCAAGCTAATTGAGCCCAAGAACTCACGGTAATAAATATAAGTCCATTATATTTGCTATTGTTAATTTCTGTTATTTGGATTTGTAAGAACAAGGTTCGTAACTCCAACAGGGACAAGGCAGACTCTGCAGCACAACAGTGATGGAAATTGTAATCAAGTGCAGAAACAGCTGGGAAGTCACCGAGCAGCTGGGTAAAACTCATGAAGCAGCAGAGATTTATGTTGCTAATCTTACTCAACATTCCCTTTCTGTATAGGCATGATTATGGAAGCTCATTTCCACGCTGAATTTGGAGTCCTAAGTGGAGATGGGAATATATTCATGAGGATAAACTTGTATAATGATAAACTTTAAGGGCTTCTTCTCCTTTTAAGTTGCTTAGGCCACGCTAACAGCTCACAAACATTTACAGGCACAAACTGCTGCTGCTCTTCAGCTGATCCTTGGGAAAAGCCTGTGACACAGCTAAAGTATAATTAGCTGGTTAATGAAGGTAGCTAATAATAAAGGTCTCCTTGCTTATCTCCTTGACTACATTCTTGTCTCTACCAGCAACTAGTTTCACTTTTTGAAAAGTCTGGAGGGAAATGCAGGAAAACCCCCACCTCAGATAAATAATCCAGGTTACAGCAGACCAACAGCAGACCTCTGGAATAATCTTGCAATTTGCACACCTATTGTAAGAATGGTTATGGTTGTTCAAAAGGCTCTTCCCAGCACATCTGCGCCCCTCAGCCAGCATCATTCTTTACAAAGATTAATCTCTCTGTCAGTCATTTCTCTGGATTTGATTTGACCACAGACATTTCACATCAGTTTTTAAATCAACGTCTTTACCAACCCCCTGACTGACAGACCAAATTTCTTCCCCCCTCCTTCCCTCCCTCACCATAAAGCCAAAGAAGCAGGAATACGAGGAATCTCTACATTCAGCTTCCAAGATTTTAACTGGGAATCATTTCAATGTGGTGCTCTCAGGAGGCTTTCCACATGCTGACCCTCTCTGTGCAAGTGCAACGAGATGGTATTTCTCACCTATCACAACTGTCTCCCCTTTCTCACATTTACCCAGAAGCAGTGTGTCACATTAAGTTTTCTCCTTTACCACAGACCTGAGGCTGTGTCTTGCATAATATTTCAAACACCCCTTTTTTCCATATATAAATTCCAATAATTCATAATGCTCGTGCTTCACACTTGGGTTTGTGTTAAAGCGACTACGGAAACCAGTATAAGGAGTCAGTCCCCCCATACTGAGTGGAGAGAGAGTTCACTTGGAATCCAGCAGCCTGTGGTAACCCTGAACACAACCCTGCAACTCTTCCCCATGTGAACGCTCCTGGAAACACAGAACTAGGATTTGTACTTACAAGGCTCCAGTATCAGGCCCTGAAGTATAGGGAGGAGAACACGTTACACTCGTGCGTGCCAGCTCTCTGCGCGTCGGGATGCCCTAAGTTCCCATCACCAAGTTTTTCGGTAAAATAATTACCAGGTCTGAGCTCTCACACCTTTTTGGGTTTCCAGATGCAGCTGGGGCAGGACGGAAACCAGACAGCCCCCTCCACAAACAAATCGTTCTGTAACGCACCACAGACACGGAAGCAAAGCACGCGTGTCGTGCCTGTCCGCGCACACCTATGCGAGCGAGAGGAGCGGTGAATAGGCAGGGAAAGCCCAAAGCATGCCTCCGGCTGCCCGTACCGTGAGGCTTCCACTGTACCACCAGCCCCTGGGGCAAACCCTGTGCAGCGCAGGAGGGAGCGGTGCGGGAACCGCCTCAGGAGCCGGGGCCGGCGCACGGGTCCCCGCAGGGCCCGAGCAACCCCAGCGCTCCCCGCCGGCTCCGGGAACCGGGAGTTGCCGGGCAGAAGCCCCGCGGGCACTCGGTGTGTGCGGGTCCTGCGCCTGCGAGCCCAGCCGAGCCCTGCTGTGCTATGCCGAGCTAAACCGTGCTAGACCATACTATGGTATGCCGAGCAGAGCCGTGCCATGCTGAGCTAAACTGAGCTGTGCTAAACTAAGCTGAGCTGAGCCGAGCCATGCCAGACTATGCTAGTATACTATAGTATAGTATGCTGAACTAAACTAAACTGAGCTGAGCTAAGCTAAGCTAAGCTAGACCATGCTGTAGTATAGTGAGCAGAGCCGTGCCTTACCTCCCGAGTGCCGGGCGGGACTGCAGCGAACACCAGCCCGGAGCACGTATAAGAGGGGGATGCCGCCCGCTGCACAAGGGACTGTAAACAAAGTTCTTGTGAGAGCGAAACAATTGAGGGACCGGAGCAAACTCAGCGGCGGGAGCTGCGGCGGGCGGGGCTGCACTCACCGGGAAGGTCCCGCTCCAGCCCTAAGGAAGGCTGGCCGGGGGCGGGCAGGCGGGGCTGGGCAGTCCCCTGCCTTGTCTTGTCTTGCCTCGCCCTGCCCTCCGCAGCTCGGCGTTGCGCCGTTCACATGCCCGGCTCGGATGCGCTCGGTGTCTGCTGCTTTGTCCGGTCCCGCACCGTGCGGGGCTCTTCTGCACCCTGCCAGGTGAAACATGGGGCCGGGGGGTATCGTCCAGCCCTCTTTGTCCCCCCTGCACAGCACCATGGGGGGAGATGTATGTGTGTGTGTCTGTCCCCCCAGCAGCAAGACACCCTGGTCCGAGCAGACGAGGGTTCGCTGCGGGTCCTGAGCCCTTAGGGGCTGGATGACCCCGCGGAGCACAGCCAGGCCCTACTGGAATCCGGATGAACTCCCAGCTGGTGCTTCACTTCTCAGGCATTAGATGAACAGGAGTGTAGTTTTAGATTACATCCTTAGAGGATAAAGCTTTTCCTATGCTTTATTCACTCATTTCAGCGGAACATTAAACTCTTCAGGGGGTTGGAGTGGAAGGGAATGGGTGTTATTTTTTACCATGCTTTCTGATCTTTCCCAACAGATTTTGCTTTTGAGGCTTGTAAAAGAACATGTTTGTATTGTGTGGTTAAGCTTACCCAAAGTTTATATTTAAAAGGCATTATTTTATCAATGATTGATAAAAGAGCAGTGCTCCAGATGTATTTAATCAGCCACTCTGTCTCTGAAAGCATGCATGTACTTTTGACTCCCTTTCCAGGGTGAAATCCTGGCCTCAAAGAAATGAATAGCAAAACTTCCATCAACCTCACAGGAGCCAGGATCTCGCCCCGTGTATCATTAAGAACTCCCCAGTGATGGAGATCCTGCCAAGGATTCATCTCCTGCAGCTGAATCAGTCAGGAGGTTCTGGAAGAGCTCCACAACTTTATACAAGAAACTGGTACTTTCTTCCCTATTTGCAAGTGTTTCCTCCAAGCACATTGGCCTTTCAGCAGCAATGATAAGTGACTGCATCTGAGGGCAACTGTCCCGGGCAAGGAGCTCCTGGGCTGTTAAATCCAGGCCTTTCTCATACAGGCAGCAGTGCCAGGTAATCTCTTTATTAAACTTGCCAAGTTCCACCTCAAACCAACTAGATTTCCTGGTCCTGCTAGAAAGCTATGAGCTTTATTCTGTTGATGTCTAGGAACCTTAATCATGTTTCTAGCTGCATAGATTCATAGACAATGATACATTCAGCCTTGGGCTGAAAGAGATGATCTTTCTTTTGGCGATTAACCCTCTAATGTCCTGAGGTAGAAATCAGACTCTCTCAGGCTTACTTTTGATCATCATTTTTTCAGATGTGGCCTTGCCAGTATCCTGCATGGATGTAAAATATTTTCCTGTCCTGCCAGAAATACTAATACTTCATATTTATCCTCTGATTGTTCAATATATCTGGATTTCTTTCCAGTATCGGTTCCATTTATCACTTTATATTAGAAATTCTTGCTATTAGCACGTATGTGCATGACCTGACTTTCACCCCATTCCTATTACATCAATTCCTCTCTAGTCTTTCCAGTGTAGTATTTGGTCCTGTGTTGACAGATAACCTCCCTCCTATGCTTACACCATCAACAGTTCCCCTAGTACATTCTTACTTTTCCATGCCAACTTTATTACTGAAAGTATTACATAAAATAACTCCCAATGCTGATTTTTGAGAAAGTAATCTGAAGTACACATAAACAAGTGTCAAACTGGGCTTAGAATTCACATGTTTCTGAATAAATAAATGCCCTAACAATAGGCTAGAAAGTTACACTCTCTTCTAGACCTCATGCAATTGTAACTCCTTCTTGTGAAGCAGAAGAGCTGCTATGAGAAGTGATGGGAATGATGCCTCCTTTCAGTGCTGTGAGAGCAGTGGGCTGTCCCCTAAAAGGGGAGGTTTGTAGCTCCAGGACACAAAGAGGTCAAATACAACCACCCCTCTGGCCTTTTAAAATGGGGATGGCAGACTACCTCTGCCTTTTAAGGGCCTGCTGTGCTCGGAGCATGACTCTCCAAGGATATAAGGAAAGAAGTACCAAACATACCCGAAGCAGCACGTTTGGCACCTGTAGAAATGCAGTGCAAACAGCTGAGGAAACTTCAGGACTGAGCAACAGCTGCAGCGAGGGGTTACAGGTTCACAGTTTTGGACTGCCATGCTTAAATGCCTCATAGTTCCCCTTTAGGACCTGACCTAAATGACAAAATCTGCTCCCTGTGGCCTTAACACAGCTGCTCCGAGGAGGTGCAGCCCCAGAGGGGACAATAAACAGAAGCCTATGTCATTCTGGAACTCCTGCAGCCTATTGAAAGAGCTCAGTTTTACTCCTGAATCGAGCAGTGCTGTTGCTCTGCCTACTAAGACACACTTGTAATACTTCATGGCTTCCTTTGAGTTCCTGACAGTCTCCTGGGCTTTTGGAGCACAGCAAACAGTGACTCACTAATCTGGCAAAACACAACCTTTGTGGGCTCCCTATTCAATTAGTTTTTCTTGCCTTTTCTCTAACTCTCCACTGAATTTTCCTTTATTTCACCCCTAAGCCCACACACGGACACAACATGTCCATTGATTGCATTTACTGAAACTTCTAGAAAGCACTCTTTCAGCATGTTTAATATGTTGGAAATGGTCCTTACCATGTCCTGCTGTGCATGTGTTTCATGATGGGGAATGGAGTTCTTAGCAAAGCCAGTTAAACCAGAGAACATAAAACATTGTAGCTCCCCTCTCATTAAACCAGTTTCCAGCACCAGGGAGTTCAGCCCTGTTGGTTGATAGCTGTGCAAACCACCCACCCAGTAATCAGTCTCATGAAATGGATGTGCTTATAATGATAGTGAGAAACCTCCTTGGTGACTAGGAATATGGAAAGGAATTTTCTTTTAACTCCATTAGATCCTCCCCATACTTTGGTCAATTTCAGCTATCCTGCTGTGCATTTGAACTTCCTTATTCCCCTACTCGACTTTCACTTGATCTTCCTGCAGTGCTGAAGAAGACAGGACATCTGGAGCTGAAAACAATTATTCTTATCTCCTACTGCTTTCATAATTACACGAAGTTCACATTTGAAAAGCTGCATTCCTTATGGGGATGTGTGCTTTTCATTAACAGAGGGATGCGCCACACCAGCAGACGCCAAAGCCTGAAGCTAGCAGAAGTCTGTTACAGAACCTCTGAATCTTTAGCCAACTGGAATCTCTGAATCTCAGCTTTCTGGCTGAGCTAGGAGGAAGCCTGGTAACAAAGACAAGACAATGTAATTTCACCATAACAGTGCTTTTTCTTAGAGGTTATTGCAGTAGAATCCAGTGAATTCAGCTGAGATTTAAGTCAGGGTAGGAATGAGCTTTTCCCATGGCTCTGCAGAGGGCTTTTATTGGTTTCCCACCTGCACTGAGTACCCCAAGGAATTCACAGGGCACAAAGATGTGGAGGGAAATGAAGACAAAGAGTTGCAAAAGTGACCTCCCCAAGCTCATGTAGTGGGTGATGTCAAGATGCTTTGTATGTCACTTCCCTGCTCTGCCAGTGGGTATGGCACACACTGTTCCCTCTTCTAATGCTCACTCTAATGAATATGGATCATTTCAACCACTGTAATTGACTCTGGCAGTAGACAGAAAATGACGAGCTGTCAGCTACCCTAAACAGGCCATCAGTTGGATTACTTCCTTTAAAACGAGGCTCTAGACAGCTTGGGAACACTGGTGAGAAGGGAAAGAATTATGGGGAAATCACCACTTGCCAGTAGTGTTCAGGGGCTGCTGATACACAGATATACAGGTCAGGAGAAGCCTTCAGATTCTCTTAGCTGACATCCTGCATATCACAAAGCATTCCATTTTACATTCAGCCCAAGATCAGGATTGTGAAACCAAACTTCTCTGCTCATCTGAAGTATATTTTGAAGAAAATTATCTAGTCAAGAGATGGAGAAGTTGTCTTACCAATTCATTGAAATGTTACTGTTTAAAACCTATGGTTTATTTCTGGGTTTTGGGGGTTTGGGTTTTTTTTTCCTGATTCCTTGATGTTAATTTTAACTCTTTAGCCTTTACCATGTCTAATGAGTCTTTTTTTGTCCTCCTCTACTACAATCCTTGGAACTAAATTTATATCTAACATACTGCATGTAGCTACACACACAGTTTTTCTCCTGCAGAACAGATGATTTCATATGGGATTAGCAGTAAATTACGTGTCTGATCTACAGAGGAATTAAGAAAAAGAAGAAAGCACTATTGCAGTAAGCAACAGTTCTCACTGTTCCCACAAAAGAAAGCTTCCCATCCATATCATCTGCGTTAGCATCACTGCTAAGGGAAATGCTTAGAAATAGTTGTACATCCACATAAACAAGTTAGGAAAGGAGAGGGTGTGGTAGTGACAACCATTTGCCAAATCAAGTCAAGAGCTAAACAGCCTTGCTTATCATCTGAATGACTCATTTTAGGTCATGCAGATGATTTGATAGTGCAATCCCTTCTTTCCTATAGAGGTTGTAAAGTTGCCCCTTTCCTCAAGGCCAGGTAGATGGGTTGCACCTCACAGTCTCGTTTATTTGCACTGGGAGGGAATGTGGCTAAAAGGTGTAAATCAAAAGTAAATATGGCCAAATGAAGAGGTGGGTCCTAACACCAGGAGTCCAGCATATTAAAGATAAATAATATTGAATAGTAGCAGGCAGGAAAACAGCAGAACTCCAGTTATTCTCTGAATCTTCTTCTGTTTGAATGGAGCTCTGTTGAAACTAGATAATACAGATAGAGTCATAGTTTGGGGTTAAATTGAACTCTATGAAGAAGGCTATTGCAAGCTAGTGTTTAATGGCCACTTAAAACCTCTTCTGACAGCTTGAACAGTGAATGTCTTGTGCTAGTTCTTTGCACACTGGGTGCCTATACATGTAGGCAGGAATAGAAAATATATAGAATATATTTTTAGATAAAATATATACAATACATATCTCAGTGTGTCAGACAGGCTAGACTTTCTGCATGTTCTTTATGTGTTGGAAAAACAGATTTCCCTTTGACTCCCGCAGCAGAGGAGAATACAGACTGCCTTGCACAAGCACGGCTATCCTGGGAGATGCTATTGTTACTTTCCAGCTTCCTGGATGAAGAATTTGCTTCTTGCAAGCTGCAAAAGTCATGAAACAATTTCTAAGAAAGGCTTTTACATAATGCAATCAAGGGAACAACAGTAGCATAAGATTATAATTGGTCTGGCTGTGTATAATAGAAATATGAAAGTGCATACTGCATAAATGTCAGGACTATTCAGCACTTTTGCAAAATTTTTGGAATACACTGAGTGAAATGGAATGACAATAGTATATAAATATCTGCACAGCAGTAGAATCCATTGAAATCCCACATCTTTAGTTCAAGAATTTCTCAAAGCGCACCACTGCCACACAGAGACAGACGCAGGAAAACACAATATAACTGGTAGCACTTTCACATATGGATACCCATATCCAAAGCATCTGAGGCCTGAAAACTTTAACGTAGTATGTTGCTTTTTTCATTTCTGACCACATATGATTTTCAGATGGAGGAGTTGTCCTGTTCAGTGCTTTGATGCCACAGCATAGAATTCACTGGATTACTCAGAGCTGATTTCAGAAAGGGTGGAAGTAATACAGATTATTTCCATTCTAAAAAACAGGTGGGCAATTTAGGTGCACTAATCCCATGAACAGCCCAGATCAGCAAGTTTCCTCGAGGTATCACTTCCCACTGAAAGCAGCAGCAGATGAATACCTAAGAAATATTAAGTATGCGGGTCAAGTCCTGGGCACTTTTGAAACTCCCCCTCATTGCCCTAGAATAGTAACCCTCTATTTTCATTCAGATAGTATTTAGGTCCTGATCCATGTGTGGGACTGGATCGTGCTGTAGCTAGGCTGCCTTTGGTAGCTGTGCTCAAGCTTGGGTTCGTGTTCCCAGAACCAGCTGCCTTGAAGCAGTTGCTATCCCCCTGTCTGTTGGGATAGAGCTCTAGGATATTGGTCTCTGCTATGTCTGAACTCCCCCAAGACTACAGCCCACTAGCCAATAGTGCAGATATTAAAGGGTTTGAGTTCAAAGTTTAGCTTCTGTCCCTAAGGTAAGGTCTTATGACATGCAAGTGATAAATAATAACACTTACGTAAACATACATGAAAATAGAAAATAAAGTCTCCTTTCAGAACTGTTTGTGCTTTCTTAGTACTCACCACTCCTTCTTTACCAAGAAAACAGGGCACATAGTAATGTCCTTTTTGAAAGCTTTGGTCCCTAGAGTAGCCTTGGGAGATAAATCTCTTTTTCCATGACAGTGTTATGGGAGGGAGGGAGTGGCCAGGCAGCCGTAGCCAATGTACAATTCTAATGCCGTGTGGACAACAATATAATACCAAAGATCTACTGTAAAACAAAACAACAATGTTGAGCTATGATCACTTCAGTCCTTTTGCACAAATAAGGCTCCTTAAGAGGTCATGTAATCCTACAGGCACACATCCTTGCTGTAGGTGAAACACTAGCTTTTGACTCACAACTCTTCCTTTTTCATATGGGGTGAAAGTTATCCGTGTACAAACAAGAGCCATGAGCTCTTTGTGTCTCATTTGAGTCCTAGTTCAGAGCATGAATGGGATTTAAAAGTGAGATAGAAATCTGGTAAAATCACTGCAAAAGTAAAACTACCACTTGAAGAGCTATTTCTGTAAAATAAACTACATCAGCCCCACCATTGTCTCATATTCCATTTTAAAGAGCAGATCCTCAGCTGGGTGAGCAGCACAGCTCCACTGAAGTCACTTTAGCTCCACCAAGAATTTACTTGTAAGGCTTCAGCCATAAGAAGCGTCATGTTTTGGAGAACCAGCTGGGCTGGTGGGCACACCATTGTAATTCACAAAGAACACAAACAAGCCAAAATATTTTACATATATTGTATAAATATTAACAACAAAAGGTCATAATACATGTAAGCATATTACAGAAGTCAAACACAAGAACTGGAATGTTTGCCTAGTTTCATTGGGAGGTGAGAGCAGGTAGTGTGAGAGCAAAGACTTGGCAACTGTTAGGGTCATTATCTTAGGAAGATGCTATAGGGCAAATTCTGGCATCAAATATACATGATGAGGGGAGGTTGTTTGGTACCATCTTGCCTTCTGCCAAAACCCTCTCTCCAAAAGTTCTGTGGACTGTGCACGAATGCTCAGCCTGTGTGTCCAAACCAGAGTCATCCAGAAATGCTCAGCTCTGCTTGCAAACCAATTGTCTGGAACTGGAGAGGACAGCTGACATAAGTGAACTCTTTGTCAAAGAGCTCAGCCACTCGGCAGGGAGCTAGAAAAAGCTAACTTTTGCCAGCCTTGCACAGAGGTTACCACCCAGTGCATTGCACTAGTGAATCTGCTCTTAGTCAGTAGGTTTGATGATGTCCCATCGCTCAGAGTTGCTTGTGTTTTATTCTGAAGACACAGTGTTCAACAGGAAAGTCTCACAGGAATTAGAAGAAAAAGGCTGGAATGAAAACAGGCTTACAACCCCAGGGAGAATACCTTCTTTAGCCTCTTACATTTTGATGACCTGAATGCACTGAGTGCCTATGCCAGCCTCACACATCATCATATTGTTACAGGTGGTGTTATTAGCAGTAGTCTAAGTAGGATGTGAGGAGTGTCCCCATCAGTGAGCTCCTCCTGCCCAGGAGCTCAGACCAGTGGCAGTTTTGTCCCCTTCCATCCTGTCCATCCCAGTCCACCGTGGGCCAGGGCCTGCTTCCATCTCTCTTTGCCTCCCACTTTGTAAGCTGGTTGGGGTGTACCTGTGTCCAACACACTTACCAGCTGCTGCACAACGTTTATGGGTGCATTATATATAGAATGATAGAATGGTTTGGGTTGGAAAGGATCTTAAGATCATCCAGTTTCAACCCCTCTGCCACGGGCAGGGACACCTTCCACTAGACCAGGTTGCTCCAAGCCCCATCCAACCTGGCCTTGAACACTGCCAGGGGTGGGACAGCCACAGCTTCTCTGAGCAATCTCTGCCAGCACCTCACTGCCCTCACAGTAAAGAATTTCTTCCTTAAATCTACCTGAAATCTCCCATTTAAGTTCCTCATATGAACCACCTATAAGGAAAACTGCTTTTTAAAACGTGAAAATACATATACAAAAATACACGTGCCCATAGAGACTCTTCAATCCCAGTCTTGGGGGACACCCAAAAAGCCAAGCTCTGACTCACACACCAGCAGAACCTGACCCTGTTCTGGCCCCGGACATAAGACATTTAAACACCACCTCCCCAAGCGCAGCGGACAAACCAAGACCTTATCATGAAACACGGAGCAACCGTTCACCCCGGCGCACCCTCCATCCTCCGCCCCCCGCACCGCCCCGGCCCCGCAGCCCTCTCCCTGCTGCGCGGCGGGGGCCGGTCGTGGTGCGCGGAGGGGCGGTGCCGGCCATTGGCCCCGAGCTCGCCGCCGCCGCCACGGAGAATGGAGGCGCCGGCGCTGCGGGGCTTCCCCGAGGAGCAGTTTCGGGCCGCCTGCCGGGAGCTGGACCAGCCGGCGCCGGCGGCGGGGGGGCCCTGGCAGCTCCTGGTGGAGAGCATGGGCGTGAGGATCTACCGGCTGCACGACGAGGTGGGCGGGCCGGGGGAGCTCCCCCCGCGCCAGGGGTGGCCGTGCTCGGGCCCTGCCCTGCCCGGCCCTGAGCCCCTCAGGGAGCGCCTGCGGCACGCAGCGGGGAGAGGGACACGGAGGGTCGGGGCAGCGGAGCGGGTAGAGCCGCCGGGCCGCGCACAGGGCGGGCTGGGGCCCGTTGCCCGTCCAGGTGCCCCCGGCCTCGGCTCGGTTTCTCCAGGCTGCCGGAAAGCAGCTTTCAGGGTAATGCTATTAAATGCTGATGAGGAAGCGGCTCCGCTGCGGTGAACGCCGCCCTGAGAGGCGGTGCGCTGGGAAACCCGCACCCGGTGAGGCCCTGAAAGCTCGTTAACAGCCGGTGCCGGGGACGCTCCTGCTGGAAGGTGGTTCCGGCCTAACGGAGTGTTCTTCCCTGCGAGTCCGCTCTAGCAGTGGTAGTCTGGGAAACTGAAGGCAGCTGTAATATTTCCTATTGGCTTTCCAGCTCCGTGCTGTATTCCCACCCACTGATTGAAAATTTGAAATGTTCCACGCTTGGTTTAACTTTCTTATTGTGAATTGCTGGTT